ACAACTCTCATTCCCCAGAAAAAGAATTATAGGTGAATTGCTTATTCAGTAGGTACATCAACAGCAGTGAGTGTTTGGGAAACCACATAAAAACATGGACTGCTAGGGGCTGGGAGTGACTTTAAAGACACATATGAAATTGCCATTTTTGTAGGTCAAAAAATGATTAAATGAAATTTAGCATTTCCTTCCAATATGCATATAGGCAACAAACCACTACAGCATTGGCAATACTTGTGACTCGGTCACCAATAGAAATCGCTGGTATTTCCATATCATACCACGGTTGTTACAGATAGCTCAATACTATTCACACTCATCACCACTTCAAAGTGACAACAGTTATTAGACCCTCTGCTACATTTTATTTAGTCCGTTAACAAAGAAGCACATATTTTACTATATCAACAAATTTTAACATTTCGATAATATATTTTCAATGTAATTATTTTCCTTTGTAATTCTCTGTAGTTCACTGTGCATTTAAAAACACTATTCTGAGGAGGCTGGAGGTTTAAACCAGATGCCAAAGGGGTCTATGGTACAAAAAAGGTTAAAAGCCCCTGATTTACACAGCATAGAGGTTGAAGTCAAAAAGTTCTGCAGGCAGACTGCCTAGTTCAAATCTAGGCTCTACCTCGCTCTATGGAGCTCCCTGGCTGGTGTAAATGGTTTGCGCTGGGCTACCTTGGGCAAAGGTAGCCTTCCCAGTGTGTTGGTTTCCTCATCTCTCAGGTGGAGATGATGATGATAGTATCTCCCTTATGAGGCTGTTTGTGAGGTTTAAATGAAAAATGAGTTACTATATTGAAATGCTCAACACAATGCCTGCACATAGTAAGAGCTCAGTAAACATCAGGACAGGAAGCTGAAGTTCAGAGAGGTGATGTGTCAAATGAGTTGATGGATGTGAAAGCAGTTCATGAACTATACAAATAGTAGTTACTGTATTTGACTTGACCAAGTTCTCACAGCCAAACCTCTCATGGCAGTGGTAGGTCTTAATGTGGATCAAATACAAAAAAAAAAACCAATCCCGTTGCCATCAAGTCGATTCCGACTCATAGTGACCCTGTAGGACGGAGTAGAACCATCCCATAGAGTTTACAAGGAGTGGCTGGTGGATTTCAACTGCTGACCTTCTGGTTAGCACTCAAGCTCTTAACTACTGCGCCACCAGGGAGAATTAAATCCCCTTTTGAATGCGCTTTCCAGGCTCACTGAGGCCCTGGGTGAAGCAGATATGGATGGGAGCTCTTCACACATGGGCATGGATGGGTTTCAGTGGAAAGCTCTCTCTGGCACAAGATAGCGTGAGGTGTGCGGTAAAATGATGGAGGCTGGGGACCTAGAGACATTGAATTTCTTGCCAATGTCCTACTGCCAGTCAATGGTAGTTCCAGGCCTAGAACCCAGGACTTTTGACTCTTTGTTCAGTGCTCTACCCTTCACACTAAGGTGCCATTAAGGCAGGAAGCACAAGCACAGCCATCTACAGGAGGCTGGCACGACAGATTGTGAGCACAGCAGAGCCAGGGGTAAGATGATAAGAAGGCGTAGGAGCTGTAGGGCACTAGCAGACGATGCCCCATCAAAAGGGAGCAGACACAACTCAGCTCTGACTGATGTGGCCAGATGGGAATGCAGTGTCTGTGCTTCTCAAGACAATTCTGAATTTCTAAGAGAAACTGGAAATCTAGACTTAATACGGAATTCCCAGATTTTATAACTGTTCATGCCAAGAAAACACACATCTGCAAGCAGATTTGGCCAGTGACCATTAATTTGTTCACCCTGTTGTAAAGGCATCAGTCTGATCAGAAATGCTGCCCAGGCTTACCATAGCAGAGAGTACAGTGGGCCATATACTCCAAGTCCTGCTGCCTCACCGTCTCCCAGACGAACAGGTGGAATCTGTTGGTC